CTTTTAAGGAAAGGTAAACAAGCTGCCTTTGTGAATCGCTTAAAGGCAGATATAGATTCACCCCTGCACAAGAAGATGGCCTTTCCTACATGAAGAGTCCCAAACTGCTATTGCATTTTTATGAGTTCTTTTGCTTTTATGCTTAGAAAGTCCTTCAACCACCCTGACATCAGATAAATATCAACTATTTTTTATTTGCATTTTTTAAATGTAATTCTCTAATCCAGCTGGAATTTATCCCGCTTAACAGTAAGAGGAAGGGCTTACATTTTTTCCCAAGTTTTGTCAGTTATCCTAGTGATTACTAGCTCACTTACAAATACCTTATGCATTTAGTTATAGCCGGGAATACCTAGACATTTCCTCAAGCTTCTATCTTTAAGAAGTATATAGCTCTACTTTATTCCAACAATTTTGACATAACAGTAGTCAGTACATTTGGAGGTGATTCCATATCCTTACCTTGGCCCATCTGTATCTTTAAAAGCTCAGGCCATAAGCCCTGGGCCCTGAGAGCAGAGAGCACCACAAGCAAGAACTCTGGACTAATGGGGGCAAGAGCCCTCTGTCTGGTCAAGTGCACCAACTAGGCAGCCCCTGAAATAAAGAACTGTTTTCCCCAAAGAGCTGCCATGGGATAAAGGACCCTGAGAAAGCCTGCAGCACAGGAGTGCAGGGAGGTAACAAGGCAAAGATGTACACAGCCCCAGAGGATCTCTTCTCACTGTACAAAAGATCCAAAGAAAGGAAAACCTAACCTTACAGATATTTCTAGGTTAAAAAACACAGGAGGAGCTCTCAACCTATTGACTTAGATGATCCAGTGTATAACGAGTCTAGTGACTTGCAAGGGTGTTTTCTAAACATCTAGGAGAAAGGGAACAGCAAAGAGCAGCTGTGTCAGTCTCCCAGCCCATTAGCACATAAACCAGGAGCCGCAAGCTCACTTCCTACAGGAGCAGGTAAGTGGAGTAAGTGAGCAAAGGGGGCCGAGTGAACAACGGGGCGCACTGGAGACCAGGCAGCTTGGAGTTTACGTCCCTGAAGCACTGGCTCCTTCAAGTGGAGGCACTTATTACACAGCCACAGCACTGGAAACTCAAGCCCAGAACTGCCACATTTTCTAATTTTTAAAGAAGCCAAAACTATAAATTCTTATGTGAACGTCCTGCTTCTTAAAGTCTGACAATTAAATTTTCTTTTTAAAGCACACAAGTTAAACCAGGTGTATCTATGAGCCACATTTCGCCCACAGATCACCAGTCCAGGATCTCAGATTCCAACATTATAAATCAACACACAAGCCACCCATATTTCCAAAACACTCTTCCCTGCTGCCATGCCCTTTTGTGCTTATCTGCCTCCTCGTTTCCTCACTATGCCCACCTACCACAAGCTATACAGCTCAATGGATTCCAGGGTGCATGTGTGAGGTGTGAGTGAGAGATGCTACACTATCTCCTTCTCCGCATTCCAGAGTCAGCCAGACTCTGATCCAAACACAAGGAACTGACGTTTTGGAAATAAAGATTCATTACTATGGGCAGTTATGCTGCTAGGTCAGACTGCTGAGCCGAAGTAAACCATTTCTTAAACTGTAAGTAGAGAATACGTCTTAAACCTCCAAAAATGTCTTTCTTTCATTTTTTTTCTTCAAGAACTCTTTGATACCCTGTTTCCTGTATCAGTGACTAACTGCTCTCAGGGTCACAGCTTTGGCATCGAGCTAGCAATATTTCATGCTAGAAGCAAAGGAATAACCCTCAAAAGAAATTCATTAACTAAACTGAAAATCATTTCCATTCAAATTGCTACAGAGTTAGCTTCTACACAAAGTAGACCGATGACCTTCTGTGAAGTGCTTTATCTAAGGGTATCCTATTCCAATCAAAGTTGTCAAAAGGTTTAAGGAATGAGTCAATCTCCTCCTGGGATTCAACCCACACATCTAGTTTTCACATACCTAGGTATGATACCCTTTCCCACAGATTCTAACAGGGCTTCAATATTAGATAATCTTTTTCATTCATATAAATAAATTATAGCCTTCCATAATCTAGAAGAATTTCTTCTTTCTTCTTTCTTTACATAAAGATCTAAAAACTATGGTTTTCCATACAGGGTGTGTCAAATACATTCACTTGCGAAGGACTGGATCGGGGAAGGTTAATATATGTCACCATCTACGCACATTTGTCTATTATTGCTGATACCTACGTGCAACAAATTCTCCATTCTATCCATCACTTTCCACCTTAAACCTTTTACAGATAATATTCTAGAGGGTGGCTGACTCTAACATCAACTTGGAAATAGCCAGCTTTAATTCCTAGCTGAGATCAAAATGAACAATTAGGCCAGAACAGACAAGTGACATTATAAATATAATTGATTCAAATTGGAATTTGGATTTTGGTTTTTTTTTTAAGTTCTAAGTTCTTTTGTTTCCAAATCAGGTCATTTTACCATAAAACATGAAAATGAAAAATGAGAAGAATGTCTAAGAAGTGGTTTTTAATTCTGTCTTTAGAATTCTTCTTTTACCAGTGCCATAATGGCATTAAGCAGCTATAATGAGAACCTACTCAACTAGTCCTTATGCACATTACACAACAGCAAGTCCTCATCATTAGGCAGGATGCTCCCAAGTACATAAGCCCCCAGTCCTCCCTGGCGGAAAACAAAATACCAAGCAGACCCAGCGGTCTCAAAACACAGTAACAGGCTTTCATCTGCTCCCGACACCGGTCTCTCTGAAAACAAACGCACTCTTATGCACATGATTTATAATTGTTCTATTTTGCTTCTTATTATCAGAAACCCTATGAAATCTTAAAAACGTAAGGACATGCTAAGAGAGCAGGTACCTTCCTCACATATTGCTGATACTTGATTTTGTTAGAAGAAAATAAGAAAGGAGATAGGGGAAGAGGAGGGAAAGAAATGAAGAGATGGGAAGGCAAGGACTGCTGAACCCCACAATACTCAAAACCAAGAGTATACTAATTCCTAGAAACTTACATAACAGAGCACGAAACCCACACAGTGATCTGGTCACTAAAGCAAATCTTTTGACAAGAAAACAGTAACACTTAATGGATCAGTCACGACAGCAACAGTAGAATCTGATTTCCAGGAAGAAAGGGACAATATCGGAAAGACCTATAGCAATAATCTTGATTTTTTTCCCTTTTTACCATGTTTCTTTGACAGTGTAAATTATGCAGTAGAAGTCTATGTGAGAAACAGCAACAAGTTATAGACAATAGTTACAATATTTATTTTACATGTCACAAATAACAGACAGTCCTACAAAAACGTGTTCCTTTTATAAAAAGAAATTAGACTTCTAAATGAAAATACATCTCTCACACTTGACTATTCATGAAGTCATAGCCACAGTAGTAGATTTACTCATGAACAGTAATTGTCAAATTTACATTCTTCTCTACCAATGAAGTTATACTTTTTGGAACAAAAATGACATAGAACATACTTCTTTCTTAAGAAATAAAAATTATTGGTCTGTATTGGAGTTTCATAACAGGAGTTTAGCCATTTTCTTTTCCTCCTTCACAGACCAGGACTCCGAGGCAACCCATCAGTTTTTATTTCAAAAACATTATGGAAGTTAGGCTAATGGAAGCCTCAAGATGGTGAAAAATGAAAAGATTCAATATCAATACTGAAGATGTGCACTTGTTATATTCCAACCTACCTAATACACTGACAAAGGCATCGAAAAGGTGAAACGTAAGCAGAGGCTCTTTCAAGTGACCGAAGTAATCTGCTATTGTTTTAAAGACATCTTTTTCAAATCCTAAGTACATAGGCTGCTTCAAATCTGAACAATTAGGCCCTGTTAAAAAAAAGAAAGAAACATTAATAGAACAATTACCTCTAGGTATTAGTCTCTGTGCACATGTGTGGTATATACAGAGTCAAGATCAGAAAAGTTTTCATGGGGAAAACAGACATTCATTTTGCTTACACAAATATGCTTTACATCTAAACTGAAATCTATTACAAAACAACAAGCCAGGAAAATCACTGGCTTACTTCCATTTCCCTCTTTCTTTTATGTCCTTCTGAAAGGCATTATTATTAAATGTAAACCATGATAATTTTCTTTAAAATACTCAATATTTTCCTAGTCTTGACACAGTCAACCAATATAATTAAATTACATATGTAATAGACAAGCTATAAAGCAAATTTTAAAGATTGTCAATATTTCATCATTACTATATTATAAAATCCTAAAATCAGAGTTGAGCACAATAATCACCTTCAGCCTCTAAACTATTTCAGACTCATAAGAATGTATACTTTCTCCTAAAGATACTCTGAAAATTTTACATTGTTGTCTTATCATTCATTTTGATTAAAAACTCTCCATTTGATCCCCAACCATCAAAAGACAGTTTATCACCAAAAAAAAAAGGGGGGGGGGAAGCTGCTTAAACAGAGACTATGGGAAACTGGATAAGATGATCTCTAAGTTCCTATTCAATTCTTTGATCTATGATTCTAGGTTTCATTGAGTCAACAATGCTCTTGAGTGAAGAGTGGCATTTAATAAATTTTTATTAAACAGAATGATAATCTAAAATAACATTAAAGCAAAAACAAACTGATGTTTCTGCTAAAAAAAAAAGTTAAGAAAAAAAAAAGGATAGTGTATCAAGCAATGTCATATTGCAAAGTAACTCTAAGAAGCCTGGAAAAACCAAGGAACCAAAAAAGCACAGAAAAAGTGAGGAAAAGGTCCATTTGTATCTGGGACCAAAGAGAAACAAGAGACACTTAGCCCTCTGCAGAGCTGGCAGCCAACGTCCCCAACAATTCAGACACAGACCACATGATCCACAATGCCAATGGGGAGCCGACCTGGAGCTGCCGGTGCCAGAGGGAACTGGCGAGTGGCTCCCTGAGGAACTCAGAGCCAGCCCCGCCTTCTTCCATCACAGTATGGAAGGAAAATGGTACAACCGCACTGGCCAGTTCTGGGCCCACAGCGCACAGGACCAGCAACTGTACCCGAACAGATCTCCACCCTTGGGAAAGCAAACGAAGCAGCAGGGAAAACCTAAAGGAAATTTTCCCTGCACAATCACTGTAACTAAAGAGAAAGGATCCGACAAAGAACAGTTAAGCATTCTGGGCCTGCAAATTTCCAAGCCACTGGGACACTGTGAAATGGCTTTTTGTTGATCTCCTTAAAAATTCTCTGACCTTTTAATGTTCTATATACCTCTTATAAAATAACTTAACTTGATTGATTAAAATAATGAAATTTATGAAAGATCTTGTGTGGTACCTTGTTAACCTAACCGCAAACATTTTTACTTGCTTCCTCTTCTGAAATACCCCAAACTTAGTCAGTGGAAATAATTAGTTTACTATGTCTCAGTAAGCAATATACATAGCCTTGGATTACTCCATCCAAGGATAAGTATGCAGTTCATTCTAAGCAGTCAGATCCCTTTGTGAACATTTCATCATTCTTCTTAAAAATATGCAAAAACAAACAAAAAAAGGTTTCACTAAAAATGCCAGTAGATAGAGAGCCCTATGAGAGGAGGCCGTATTTCTAAGATCTTTTGTTTCTCAATCATCTTGAATTTCAGAATTTTTTTCTATTGAAATGTAGTTGATTTACAATGTTATTTTCAGGTGTACAGCAAAGTGATTCAGTTATACATATACATACATGTATTTTTGTCTTTTCAGATTCTTTTCCATTCTATGTTATTATAAGAAATTGAATATAGTTCCCTGTGCTATACAGTAGGTCCTTGTTTATCTATTTTATATGTAGTACTGTGTGTCTATTCATCCCAGCCCCTAATTTATCCCTCCCTGCCCTTTCACCTTTGGTAATCATAGTTTGTTCTCTATGTCTGTGAGTCTGGGGTTTGTAAATAGAATTCATATTTTTTTTTAGATTCCATATATAAGTGATATCATATGATATTTGTCTTTCTCTGTCTGAGTTAGTTTTTTAATATGATAATCTCTAGGTCCATCCCAGAATATCTTTTAAATCTAGTTTTTATAAATGGTATTCCTGAAAAATTCTAGAAAAGAACTATTTGCATCCATTCTTTATTGGATTTTTTCACAAAGAAGAAAAAAACACTGGTTTGGTATTTATTTAGCATCAGTCCCTCATTCTGTGGCCAACTCTGAGGCTGGCCATCAATGAAAGTACCCAGGCCTGTGGTCTGCAATAAATGCAGATGGGCTCAAAGGAAAGAGACGAGCAGTAAACGAATACAAAAAGCAGCAAGAGGCCTTCAAAATCTCATATAATCAGCCTATCCTTTCTGTTTCATACTGGACAACTGTAATGGAACCTAGACTCATTAAGGATAAGGAAGATAAGGAATAGGCCATGACTTTGACAGATCCAAAGTAAATCTGGGGGGGCCAATGACAATCTGGAAAAATTAATTTTATAAAACTATTCAAAAGGCTGACCTTGCCCTGTGGCCACCTTTTTTTCTTTGACATATAAATAAGCATCTCTGTGGGTGTGTCAACATCTGGACAGCACTGCACTTGATACATGGGAGATGGGTACCTGTTCCCAAGGACTTTCACCTAACGTACACCACCTCATACATGGACAACATTACTAAGTCAGTCCTCACATCTTCCCTCTCTATTGCTTAGCAATTCCAGTTATTCTAACCTTTCTGCAGAAGTTTTGTGGCATTATGTATACATCTTGTGTGAGGGAAAATTATATTCTTCATTACATTTTGATCACCATTAAAATTCATCGTCATAACCACACCTTAATATATATTTAACAACATATTATAGCCTAGATTTGTTATACTGGCTTCCTCCACTCATTCCCAGCTAATCAACTTCCAAATCCTTGGTTTTCCAAAAATTCATAACTGGGTCATTTATACTTTCTATTTTGTCATTGCCAACTCTGGCCAAAGATATAATTCAAATTAATTTACTTCAAATGATTGATCAAGAATAAAAAGCACTCCCCTGACCTAAAACCATAGGACTCTACATCTCAGTGGTTCCAAAATATTAACCCAAAACCAATGAAAATCTTAATAATTAAACACAGAGAACTTTGGGCTTCACACATCCTAATACTGCTATTTGTATTCAGGATGACAGTATGTAATCATTTTCTATATATTACCACTGAGACCACCCACAGTTGAGTTGAACAGTTATTTTAGCTTCATTCTATAGTCAGACAAAACTATCAGTTAAATTAATAATTCACAGCCTACTAATTCAAGGGTTTATACACCTATATCTGTACATGCTAGTCTTACCCAAAAAGGAAGAAAGAAACTACCTCTCTGTGGTGACCTTTGAGATTCAAAAGACTCCACAGACCAAATATCACCATTATCAGAATAACTAGAATTCTTCTCATTAAACCCACTTGTTTGGGTTAAGCCATTAACCATTAGAATCCCTTCTTTAGGTTAAACCTTCCAAAAAATCTCAGGAAAATGGTAATGTTAATAAGGTACCATAATAACTCATTTCTTCACTGTGTTTATGATACCAAATGAAGTAGATTTCATCCACCTGTGAAAGACCTCAGGGGGACCGCCCTGGTCCAGGCCCCCTCATCTTACAGCCGAATTGCTGAAACAGCCTTTCTGGTTTCTCTGCACGCAGGCTCTCCTCCTTCCAAACCATACTGCAAACCAATTAGATTAGTCTTCTAAAAACATCTCTCTCAACTAATGTCCTATAAAAAGCCAGTAGGAGACAGGACCTGCTGAATAAACGGATGACGTAAATATAAGGCATACTTAGGAATACATGTTTTAGGAATAAAAACATAGGTTTTAGGAATAAAAGCCTACAAACTGTTAACAAGCAGTTATCTATTACAACGTTATGTCCAATATTACTAATTATTCTTTCCTATGATGAAGCAGTCAGAAGTAGTGTGGACTTTATCTGCAGTGTGATTACATCCACTAGAAAACAGAAGCACGAAATTTCTTTTAAAATGTTCTATAACTCAGCCTTTTCACTAAGTCAGTCAAATTTAAGTCAAACTTATCACTGGGCACAGCAGTCCCCAAACAATTAACTGCCAGTCTCACAGGGGTCAAATCAATGTTCAGGCCATTGAGCAAAAATATTTTATAATTCAGGGCACTGATTTTTGTTAATTTCATAAAACTGACCGATAATTAGTACTTACAATTTGCCAAACACTTCATAGCTGACAGTACCCAATGAGGAAGTTCTTCTGCAGGAAAAAAAAGAGAAATAAAAAGATGTTTTACTCAACTGCATATAACTCAAGGCATTACAGACACAGCTAGTATCATAAGAATGATACTTGCCCAAGTAATAGGAAACATACCTGCTAATCACAAATCACCTACTTATGTATCAGAAGATTTAAAAGATGAAAATGTTTCCTTAGCAGCAATGTTACAACACGTGCTTATATAAATCATGCCTGTAAATTTCTCTAAAGACAGGATGCACTTTTTAAAGTTTAGGGAAAAGAAGAATTTTGATCGCTGGTTCCAAAGAAAGAAACTAACAAGCCAATTATCCTAAGAATTATAGAAGGAAAAGAAAAAAATAGAAAAAGCAGAAATATGAGTCATCAAATGCATCTGTGAAACAAGTTCACCAAATACCTTAAGGAAAAAAAAAGGTAAATTCTGTTATGTCTAATGTCTAATATAAGTAGTATTTTACACGTTTCAATTTTCAAAATGTTTTAAGGCAAGAAAGTTCTGCTGACATATTAATACAGGCCATTAGTATGAGGACAGCTATCTGTTAGGTATTAAGGGATTTTTCTGGTGCTGATACAGAACCACCTAATGCCTGGTGTGGCTAACACTGAACCAGCCCCTGGATGCACCTTGCTGAGGCTTTCGCTCCTGGACATTCATCTTTCTATGGCATTTCCTGAATCCAAACAACTAGTTCAAAGGTCTGAGGAAGTGAGAGAAGGCTATATGTAATGAGGACTAAACTTATGTAGGGTTTGTCAAACAGAAGCTGGTGGACCTGTGCAGCCAATGTATTGGGTCAGCCGGGAACAAAGTGGCTTTTATGCACTTACTTGACTTGTCATCAAGGATAACAACTCCCTGCTTGCTCACACTGTACACGTTATGGATGATGAACTTGGAGTTGACAAGTTTAACGTCTAACACTTCTTCTAAGGAATCCAGGCCAAGAATTTTCTGTAAACTGAAAAGATAAATAATCATTAAATTGGTTACTTTTAAAAAATTACCATGTTCATGTATAACTGAAAAATTGTGCTCTACACTGGAATTCGATACAACATTGTAAAATGACTATAACTCAATAAACAAATGTTTAAAAAAATTATTATCTGCCCAAGAACTGACAGTGTAAAAGATCAATCTTTCTGTTTGTTTTTTAAATTGAGGTTTAGTCAGTTTACAATGTTGTGTCAATTTCTGGCGTACAGCACAGTGTCATACATGGATATACATATATTCATTTTCATATTCTTTTTCACCATAAGCTACTAAAAGATATTGAGTATATTTCCCTGTGCTATACAGTATAAACCTGTTTATCTTAAAAGATCTGTCTTTAAAATGCACTGTTTTTGTGCATTTCACCCAATCTTCATGGGGTAAAAAAGCTAGAAATTGAGTTATATAAAACAAATTTAAAAGAGATCCTTTTGTCATTAATGTATTGCTTCACTAATTTAAAAACGTAACACCTTGAATGTAAAGAAAATGACTTTCTAAGTAAAATTATAACAAGAACTAGCTTACCCAACAGTGAGAAACTGACACTAGTACATCTTTGTGAGGAAAAAAAAAACTTGCTATAACACTGTTAACTTTAATTACCTATATTAGTACATCAAATATCTAGGACACCAAATTTTCCATTATAAGTTTCATTAAGTTTAAGATTTCAGTGTAACCAAAAGTTTAAGAACTTTTAAAGCTCTATTCTTAACTGTTATATAGATGACAATAGAAAATTCCCAGAATTCAGTTAAATTACGTTTGCTAAGCAGCATAGCTCCAAGTAATGCAAAGCTGAGATTTTTATACATAATTTCAGGAAACTAAATATGTAGAGAGTCGTGGAGAAGCAAAATAGAAAACAAAAAAAACGCTAAAAGACCTCATTCATGTCAAATGCACATACTAGGATAACGCTGCAGACTTCCATATCTCTTCCACGTTGGCCTCTGTCAGCTGCCTACGGTGGATAAGGCGGCAAGCCGGCACCTCTCCGATGGCAATACTGTGACGCTTGAACCACAACTCAGAATTCTAATGGGGAGGGGGGGATGAGAGAGAGAGAGAGAGAGAGAGAGAGAATGAATATTTCAATAGTGGTATGATTTTATGACAAATTCCTTGATTTGGTTATTTTTAACTTGATTTAAAATAAGAATTTGAAATATAAACTAACTTTCTTTGCATAGACCACAGAGTAATAAAGCACGGCTCTTAAAAATCAAGTCATATCTTAAATGAATATTCAAGAATTGCAAAAGAGCAAAGGCAATAAGCATGACATTAGTGGGTGTTCTACCTAATCAGTGAAGGAGCAGTGAAGTAAAATTTTATTAATTCAAAATTAACTTGAGGAATATCTATCCAAATTCACACACTGTCCAAATTAAGTAATCATTTAAAATAGCAATGAAGTCTATTATTTTCAAGAATTCTCTATTTTTCATGAGGAAAGATCAAGTAAGTACAATGTTAGATAGCAGCCCCCAGATCTTAGGCATCTGAAGAAGGCAGGGAAACAAGAGCTCCACAGACAGCTGGGGATGGCAGGAAGAAGAACTAAAGCCCAGAGTGGTTAAGTAATTTGCTCAGAATCACAGAGCTTTACCAATTTGACATTCTTAGCGTCTCCCTTCTTTCTACACACAAGTCTTTAAATTTCCTTTTGGTAATCACAGAAAAAAACTTTGAACTTTTAAGGGCAAAACATATAAGAAGTCATCTATGAAGAGTTTCTATAATAGTTTTTTGCACAAGTGTCAATGCAGAAAAATAAATTTGGGGAAAAAATGAGCTGGAAAGTTGTTTTCTGATGTGGTTTTTGGCTTTGTTTTTTTGGAGACTTACTGAATTGCAAAAGAAATTTGAAGGCCACATGGCTCTGTAAATTTGTTTTAAGTATCTAAATTAGGTTTCCATTTTTGAAGGCAGGAATACCAGCTGTTGCATTTGCCAAGCAAATTCACTTCTAAAAGTTATCTTAAAGAAATATTCATGAATAGGTTCAACTATTTATCTGTAAAGATACTTCTTAATACATTGTTTATACACAAACCAAAAAATTAGAAATCTGGTACATATCTAACAGTAAAGTACTGGATAAATAAAATGGATACTTTATAGACATGATGCAGATATTAAAAATGGTGTTGAATGTTTAATACCATGAAAAAATGGACACAGTAGTACAATATTCTAAGTGAAGAATTTAGGCTACAAAACAGCTCAGCATGATCTCATTTTGGTGTTAAAAATATGCATGGGAAAAAGAAAACAACAAAAATGTTAATATTAATTCTCTGTTGATGATCTTATGAGTAATTTTTCTCTTTTGTCTCTGACTGTAAACAATTATCTTAAATTCATTCATAATAGTAATAGTAGTTAACATTTACCGAAAATCCGTGTCAGACACCATTCCCAACACTTCACAAATATGAAGTCACTTGATTCTCACAACTACCTTACCCCAGCGGGGTGTTATCATCCCACTTTCACCAAAAAGAAAACCGTGACACAAACACAGTGAATGAAACTGAGAAACAAGTTCACCCGGTAGTAAAGGGAGGAGCCAAGATTCAGCAGTCAGTCTCCAGAGGCCATGCTGGGACTCCCCGTGTTACCCCACCCCTCAGCAAACGCAATACTTTTTTTTTTTTTTTGCTGTACTTCATTTTACTTTATATAACGTCTAGGCAAGAGAGAAGATAGGACCAAACCAAAACAAAAACCCACAAGCCGAGTGGAGGCAGAGGTAGAAAGAGGGGAAGCAGGTGGAAGAAATAAAGATGCGCTCCAGTTCCCCAAGGAAGATGGACTGCTTGTCTAGTAACGTCTCCATCAACGCACATGCACACTCAGCCTCCTCAATCCAAAACCCGCATCAAGGTCCAGTGGGGCAAACAGGTCCTGCACTGTCGCTCTTCCTCGGGACAGTCCTCAAGAAGCAGCAGCCCAAGCTTTAGCGGAATTAGAACAAGTGAGGAGCTCAAATCTCCACCACTTAATTGAAGGGGAAGTACAAGCTAAGGTGAGAGCAATGTTACCGGAAATATGCACACAGACAGACCACCAGGGACGTGACAAGCTTTGGGGGAAATGGCTGATGAATCCGAGATGCTGGCATATCACTGCAGGGCTCCTGAAAAATTAGAGACTGAAAATGGAAGACAGAAGAGAGAAGACATCGTCGTCTTCACTGGTGCGTGAAAGTGTGCCAACGAGCACCCGGTCTTCCCAGAGTGACACCGGGAATATTACAACTGCCAGGGCCAAAGAGAACAGAAAAGGGAAGTGATTATACCAACGATGTATACACATTAGTTTAATATGGGACTTCATCTCTGTTGTATAAAAAACACTGGGTGACCTTATAATGAAAACATGTCTGTTGAATCACCACTCTCCTGATGGGGTCATATTAGGAGTTTAAACACAGATTTTCAAAATTATGAACCTGACCTCATGGAGCTTATATCTTAATTTTCTTGAACATGGGAACTATCAGCTAGACCTTAACTAAGTTCTCCTCATTAGTAATGAATTAAATGATCCTCCAATACTCTTCGTGCTCTCTCTTTCAGGGTGGTTCCACTTTTGATTTCTAATAACCTCACTGTACAGACTTCACTAGACCATGAGCCCTTTTGGAGGAAAAATTGTACCACTTACTAATGTACCTGTAGCACCCAGCACGCTGCGTGGCACACGGCAGACACTCAATAGACCTTTATTGAATGAACATGTTCATGCCATTTAAATGTGACCTCTCATCTAAGTTCCACATCTATTATCTCCATCCACTTGTTGGACACTTCCATTTAATACAATCTACCTTTATCTTCAAACATGTTTAAAACTAAACTCATCACTGTCCCTCACAAATCTGTAAGTTCATATGAAGTCCTCCATTTCTGTTACTGGCATCACTCTTTTTCTTCAATTATCTTTGATAAAACCTAAACTAGTTAATTACTCTCTCCAAACTGAGATACAATACAACCTCTTTAAAAAAAAAATTCAGGGGGAGGGATACATTAGGAGTTCAGGATTAACAGATAAACACTACTATATATAAAACAGATAAACAATAAGGTCCTACTATATAGCACAGGGAACTATACTCAATACCTTATAATACCCTATAATGGAAAAAAAATTTGAAAAAGAATATATATAACTGAACCATTTTGCTGTAGACCTGAAATTAACACAACATTGTAAATCAACTATACCTCAGCAAAAAAAAAATTTTTTTTCTTTCAATTACATTGCCTAAAAATGTTTACATCATATCTTTGCAAACATATGAACTGGATAAGCTCACTCTATAATAGATTAACTTAAAACACTGATGTTGGTACAATTCTTAAAAACTGCCATATAAAAGTTTTTGTCTGCATTTTATTTTTTTGCATTATCTCAATCTTGGTAGTCTTCTACTGGAGACATTTCAAGGAAAAAGTACACTCCAAAAAAGGCAGTTTATTCTACAATGAGCTTAGATTTCCCCAGATTAGCAGACTCTCCCTTTGTTCATATACTGTGCCAGGGCTCACTCCACAATACCCCGTGCCCCAGTCTTCGTACTTTCAACTGGAAATAATTATAACAAAGTTCAGGAAGAGGAGACCAAGAGGGAGAAGAGCAAATTACAGAACAGAAAGGAAAAGGAAACTATAAGGGAGTTTTAACAGAAAACTGCTCAGTCTAAACATATGAAAACAGCTACCATATATTCAAAGTGTCAGTAGGCAAGTGCGAAGAAATGCAAAAGCCAGTCTTCCTTTGTTATTCTCAGCTACTGACACGTAAGATATTGTCTTCAGACCACTGCTCGCAGGGGACCACAGAAAGAAGTGGACTAAGCCTGCTGGTTCACAGACTAATTCTTATCTCTCCTGCTGCCTGTCCTCCTCTCTTATAATGACACTTACCATCACAACCGGCCTCACCGGGATGTTCTCTTGAGAAGTGCCTGGTGGGGGGTCATTCCATTCTGGAAATTTAATAACCTCCTTTTGATATGGGGGCCTCTTTGGATATGGTTTCAGGGGTGAGGAAGGAGGAAATCTAAAAATCAAGAAGAAAATCTCTATTATTGCAGTCAGTGGGAGACACAGCTGTTTTAACAACAGCCCCCACTTCTTGTATTCTTGAGAATTTATGTAATTCCAAACTTCAGATAATGAATTCATACTTAAACCATTACACACGTCTAAATAGACCCAATAATATATGATTTTTTAAAACCATTCATTATGCTCATCAAATAACATTTATGAAGAGAAACAGGAATCAAATATGTGACACATTTTTTAATGGATAAGTAAGCAAACCTTGTCCTATCATTCAATTTTCGTGATTAAAGATGTCCTTAATGGGATGCTGGGGAAGCCACTTCTTCCACCCAGCTCAAATCCTCACTGCCTCACAACTCCAGCTGAAGTTTACAGATGCTAAGAATGCAAACAGAAATTACCGATAGAGAAATCTTCAGTAAAACTTGCTGAGGAAACAAACATTAGCACAAAAGCCATTTGGCCTAATGTTCATGTTCATAACTATTCCTGATAAAGATTAATTCTCCTTCCCTTGAACAGCCACACTGAGACTGAAGCTTCGGTGTAAAAATCCATTTTGGAGGAGACAGAATGCTTCCCAGTGTTCTTATTCTGCCTTCTGGTGCTTCTTCTCTGCTTTCATCTCCCCTAGGTATCAACATCATCCCTCCTTGGACAAACACATAGAAGCCAAAGCTACAATCTAACTCTCTTTGAACTGGTCTAGACCATACCTGATAGAGAACAACAGAGGTCACTAAATACACATTTTCCTCAGAGGGTCTGTTTCTGTTAGCTTGCTGCAAAGGGATACATTGCATTGTGTTGGGGAAAAAAACAATAACAAAAAAAATGCAAGAACTCTAGTTCTTAAAATTGACACGAAATTCAATAGATAATGACTTTTTATTTTCACTTTTTATTTATTTAGGCCAAAATCAAGGCTTAAAATCTTGTCTGTGATACCCATAAGCTATAAAGACCTTATTCATAAGGCAATACGAGAAATAAAGAATCTTAAAATGTCTACAGTTTACAAGGGAAGTCTGTGTCAGGGTGAACCAGGAGAATGATAAACAATGAGAGTACTATGGAGAGACATTTTAAAAACAGGCACAATAGACTTGACAAAGGATGACTAACAGAGAAAAGTTGAATTTCATTTTCTCTGACAAGAACATCCAATAACTGCATTTTATTGGAAAAGTCAGTTTTGAGTCAGTAAGAAAAAAATGCAGTCTAGAAATCATTAAATCAAATTAAAGATAAACTGAAAGACTGCTTAAATTTTCGGTAATTAAGTTACCAAGGCAGGTATTTCCAGGTGATTCCAAAATATAAATTAAATGAATCTCTAAAGCCAGTGAAAATTATTCTACTTTGTAAGTAAAGGCTGGCTTACTGAAGTTCAATCCGATTTCTTAGAAGCCAATAGTCACAGCAAAAGTCCTATTTCCAGCCAGACTATAGCATATGTATGCAAACAGACACATACACACACACACACCAGCACGCACGCACGCACGCACATTCACATAATATCGCATACAACTGCAGGGAATTCACAGACCACCTGCTTCTCAGTCCTTTAAAACTTAAACACAACCCTTGCCCCCACCCGCCCTACTGCTTACTTCCCTTCCCGATCCCTCAACTATGGTGTGAAAAGTATGAACCTGAGTTCCATCCTTGGCTCACTCACAAATTGTCTGTATGTCCTCAGGAAAGTGAAAGTGTCTCAAAATCACAATTTATTCCCTTGTCAAATGAAGGAATTAAATTGGATGATCTATAAATTTCCTCCTAGGTTCAAAATATGTTTCTTGTAGTCCCACAACCAGAAACAAGCAATATCTCCCAAAGACCAAAGCAGAATTTCTTATGCGGAGAACTGCGACTGAAGAGACACCAGGGAGCCCCTACTTCCCTGGGCCCTGAGAAGATACGGTCTTTGTTACATAGCACCAGCCGGGTCAGCAGCTGATGTGGTGGTGTCTTCCCAGCAGACGGCAACCTGGTCCGAGATGAAAGGAAGAAGCGCTCCCTCTAGTGGACCGCCTGTATGTTGTGCACTGAAAGTTTTTCACTTAATTCTAACGTTTAATCATGTTATCTTGGCCCTGAAAGTCTGTTAGAGATAATCTAGTTCAAATGTCACATTTTTCACTTAGGGGAATTAAGGCCCCAAAGAGGAACACAGCTTATTAAAATCATCATAGCTAACTGGCCAAGAGGGCAAATCTTGCACAAAAGATTTACAAGAAAATTATGGAGAAAATTATGAAATTTTATTAAAAGACATCAAAGAATTAAACTGATAGAGATATCATGTTAGTGAATAAGATGATTCAGTATCATAAAATGTCAATTTTCCTCAGGAAGAGCTATAGTTACAATGAAATTCCAGTCAAAATACAAAGTTTTTCATGAAACATGATCAACTGATTCTAAAAGTTATGTGGAAATGCAAGCGATCAAACATAATCAGGACATTCTTGAAAGAAGATATGCTCTACCAGACATCAAGGCTAAGTAAGTTGGTAGGACAAGACTGACGGCATGGACCACAGCTTCTCAGCCTCAGCGTCGCTGACACTCGGGCTGGATAATTTTCCCGTGGAGGGCAGTCATGCACAGCGTCAGAAGTTTAGGGCTGTCCCTGGCTTCTACCCACCAGATGCTCACAGCAGCCCCTCCCAAGCGTGACAACCAAAACCGTCTACAGATATGTCCCCTGCAGAATGGCCCCCAGGTGAAAACCATCAGTGAAAAGAGGTGATCTAAAACAAATACACACAGGTTTAGAAACCTGATTTATGACAGAACAGACATTACAGATCAAGGATAGTGTACAGACTGTTTAATGAAGAGTTCCAGTCCAGTTGGTTACCCATTTGGGAAAAAATGCAATTGCATCCCTGTGGCCGCCTGCACTTCCAAAGATGTTTTGCAACGTTACCTCCCACCCACATGTACTCCTGCAACGCGATCTTGCCGCTACCCTAACAAGAGGGAGGGTGCACCTGAGCCAAGGTGAGCACTCTCTGGCTGACATGGTGAACAGAAGACGGCAGGGGGGCAGTGTGGCAGTTCTGGGCACTAGCCTCGAGCTGGCCCGCAACTTCCTTCCCACCTCTTGGAACTCTGGCTCTCGTATCACTCATTCTTGCCAAGCTCCCTCTTGGAAACCAGCCATCATGTAAGTGTGACTGCCCTGAGCCCAGCATGCTGTGAGACCCCTAAGCGACAGAAAGAGGCTCCAGAAGATGAGACCCTGTGTGGAAAGAAATTGAGGTCAAGTTCCACCGACGTTCCAGACTTCTGGATGAAGAAGTCCTGGCGGAGGCGGATCCCTGAGCCTCAGCAGCCCCAGCTAACGTCCAGCTGAGCCCTTCCAAATTCCCAACCTGTAAAATTATGTAAGAACTACAACAATTGTTTTAAGGCACTAAGTTTGGGCGTAGTTTTGTGATACAACAACAGGTAACCGGAAGGAAAACGTGTGGCATCAGGGCCCCGCAGTGCGTGCAGGCCTGACGGGCCTCAGGGAGACTTTGTAGTGGAGGCTGGAAGAACAGTGAGGAAGCTGTTACTGGAGGTTGGGGACAAGACGTATGGCACATAGTGGCATAAAGCTCGGTTACAACTGTCACCTGCACTAACAAGGAAAACACAAAAGGTGGATCTGGCTAAGGGGTTTTCCAGGGTGAACGCTGAAAGTGCCAACTCATCTCTTTTAGTCTCAATAACAAGATACAGACAGAGGGAAATAACTAAAAAGGAACTTTTCAGTTTTTAAGCAGAATTTAGAAGAAATACAAAGGAGCCATGACCTGATGATTAAAAAACAAAACAATTTCTCATTGTTAATCTCTCCTAGCAAATGGTTCTCAGAGTTCAAAAAGGGCCTTATAACAAATACCAAATTCATGATGTTTCTAGTAAACTATTGTCTCGAGATTGTCACAAGTGTCTGGATATAAAAGTTTTGCTATAACCTCATGAAGATTTAACCGAGTAACTTTCTTGAAGACAGTTCTTTAAGAATCTTAGGAGTGTTGCACCATAGCCGGCTTATAAGCAGCCCAAGGCAGAGGAGATCCTGTCTCAAAGAGATTTATGAGTGCGACTTCTGTCTGATAGATTGAAGCACAATAAGATTCACAGAAAAGCCACAGCACTTTTAAGATAACAGGAATAACAGAATCACCATCCACTCTGACTAAAACACAATTTAAAATTAAAAGAACAGTCAAGAATCCCAGGCTTCTATAAGCAGGATGCGTCTGAAGAAGCTGTGCCACTGCAATCATGGGCCAGAATGACTCCAAATACAGAGCCAGGAGTTCAGAGGTACAGCCTGGAACCACACAGAATCACTCCCAGGAAGCAGAATGTGCCCTAATCAGTGACAGACTTTTATGTTCAACTGCATTTTAGAAGTGCTATGTATGAGCAACGAATTGCTATATGCGATGCCGCTGTGGGATGAGTTCTGGGAGTCTTGACAGAGGAGGTGAATGTAGTTTGCAAACAACTGCTGATGTAGTCAGACTGAATTTTCTAACGATGGCCACAACAATATCTCCCACTCTATATGCTTCTTCCATAATGTGACTCTGACACTCCTCATCAACGGGAGGAGGTAATTTCTCCATTCCTTTGCATGTGAATGAGCCCCGTGATTGCTTTAACAAATAGAACACGGCAGAAGTGATACTTCAGCAATTCCAGGCAGAGGTCTACAGATCTTAGCCACCTGGCTGTTTCCTCTTCTTGCCTACTGGAAATACTTTCCTTTTGGGATGCTCATTCTTGGGACATAGAAGCCAACAACCCGTAACAGCAACTACCCTAAGACCATCGTGCTGCAAGAAGCACAACCCATGTGGACATGCCCTAGAGGGTAAAAGCTCACGTAGAGGAGAAAGGGGCCAAGGGGCACAAAGGCACCACGTCTGTGAGCAGAGAAAGAAGACATCTTGGAAGTGAATTTTCTAGCCTACATAA